CCATAAACATTGTAGGGTTTTAAGAAAATGTTAATTGATCCATAGCCAAGTTTTAAAAGCCTTGATTATCCTGTATTTGATTTCGTCACTTGTCATATGTGCCTTTACGTTTTCTACTACGTTTGATATTAATAATTATTATCATAATACATTCTACCTCCAACTTCTAATTTATTTGTCAGACCATCCGTTACCATTTTGCTAAACAGTGTTCCATCTTTTAACCACACTTTCTGATGACTGGTTTTAATTGGTATTACTGACTAATTAGCTACGCTTACATTATCCGCTTCGCCCACAGTTCTTGTCATTCATTTCTTGTTACTGTTATGCATCACTTGTAGGGTAGTGTAAGGTGTGGGAAACGGTTGCATATTGGAAACGATCGAATGTTAGATCGGGTTTCAATGTTTACCAAGAATAACTATGACTCGGAAATTCTGGATTCTGATGATTCATACGACTCACAAAATGGTAGCGGTACGAACAATGATGATACTGTTCAGGTACGTTCTTGATATCTAATAAGCGTATGACATTTTGCGGTGGAAAAAATCTAAAGCAAAGGATGAAGGATGTAAATCATACGGGGAACAATGACTCATAATCCTGTTTTCGAGGAGGAATATTATATATAATGAAGCAGTTTTCAGGCTCTAGAGACGAAGTTAGATGCCCTTCTTTATCGTCTCCGTCGGGAAGAAGAGCGCAAAAATTCATATAAGCAAAAGTTGATGTCCGAACGCATAGTGCGACAGCATGTAGAAAGTAAATTCGTTGAAGATATCCAACGATTAACTCAACTGATAGAAATGCTCAAGAATGAGCAAAAATCATATCGGAACAGAATCAGCGCTTTGGAAAAGGTAAGCTTTGAATACTATTTGCCTACCTTCTTTCCAGCTGATGATTGGAAAAATCAAAAATGCAGGATTATCGAGAATTTAAGCATGAGTCACACTCACGCTTCTTTCAGTATTAGTAGGTCGTGATGCCACTGGTACCGCTTAGTATCCTTTTAAATATGCGTATTACTTCCTCTTTAATTTCATGTTTGTTTTTTAGCAGCTAAAACAAACTGGTCCGAAACTTATGACTGACAGCTTCAAAGGACCATCGCTTTTCTGCTCACCACCATCAACTTCAAATGGTCAATCATCAGTACTTACAATGACTGAACTAGCTTGCTCGGCAACCTCCGGTTCTACCGTCCCACTGCCATCTACATTACACTGCAGGACGATGAATGATGGAAGTGTTGACGAAGTGAGGAACTTTCGCATCAACGAGGTATAAAAGTTTTTTATTTAAATTTTCTAGAATTCTTGGCGAAGAATGTGGAAATTTTTGCAAGGATTTTTTTAGGTACCGCGATAAAGGATTTTGTTTACCATCTCAAATCTCTGATAGGAACGAACGCCTCTTATTAGCCTTTTATTATATTTCATTTTAGATTGATTAACTTTTAAATGCTAATTGTATTACCCTTCGAAATTCTTGGCAAATAGAAAATAATACTGCAAGATGAAGAACTGAGTAAAGCTGACTGGTAAAGGCACTTCCATCTATTCTTCTCTTCCAATCCATTTTTTGTTTAATTCAAATGTTCTCACCATGAATAATTGGCCAGCAGTCGTGATCATCAATTGATCAATTCATATTGATATAAAATTATTATATTCCATCCTAATAGGTTACTTCGTCTGTGGAAGCTGAACGACGTACAATATCCGGTAGCTCCTTCTCAACTCGTGAAAATGAGGGCTCTGCAACTTTAGAAGAAACCTTGCGTGCAATTGATCGTGCAACTGCTGCTGCAACAACAGCATCACATGGATTTGGAGATAAAGTGAAAACATCGGTGATTCGACGGTCGAGTAGCGACACGAAACTTGGGCAGCGTGATATAATGCTTAAATCTACAAATATTTAAGCAACGGTCTGATAAATTTAACTGAATATAAACAGTACCAGTGTTGATACTTTTAGATTTGAGGGAAATTTCAAGGAATAGAATGATCTTTAGAACTGATCGAAAGATTATACATTGCACTGAATGACCAAAGGATTGCTTTGATGAGACTAAATTTTGTATTTGCTTTGTCTAACTGTAACTTTTTTTCATTAAAGTAGTTGACACTAGTGAAGTGAGTAACTTGCCTCCCTACTTTACGCATTATCAAAATTTAGTAATGTTTGAGGTTGGTAACATTGATATGCTCTTGATGTTATGTTTGACGCATTTTACTCAGATTCTGTTGGGATAATTGATTTGTCAATGTGTGAAGCATTCTGTTCAAAATGAAATGCGTAATAATTCCTCGTTATCACCACATTCACTGGTTTATCATTCAAACACACCTTCTTAGTTTTCTACATCAAAGCCTTTTTCGGTACAGAAGCACGCTATCCACATATGCTTTCTAATGTACAGTTTGGATTTAGATTGTAGAAAATTTTGTCCATTTTTTGTCTACAAAGTAGGGATTCAGTGAGTTTGCCGAAATCTTCGATACTCTAGCAATAACATTTCCTTATTATATATCTCACAGCAAATGCCTAATGATAATAGTGCGATGAAGCTGCAAGTGAATATTGGCACTAGCAGGATAAAGAGATTCGCAGGGCTGATTTTACGGCTTTATTACAGGAGAAGGTTTAAGTTTGTAATATTTGAAGTGTAAATTTTAAAATACGCTTCTAGTACCGGAAAAAAGTCATTCCATCTGCCAGAACTACACTCCTGCTAATTCTAAGATCAAAAATAGCTGCAACAGCAATAAACACTGATGAGTGGGCTTCCTGTGCTTGAATACTGTTTCAACTTTATTTGGGGTCTAAATTTTGTTTATTTTAAACACTGTTTACGAGCAGAACCTGGCGTCCCGATTTTGCTTATTATCGTGGATGTTGACTTAAGCACGGCCTTACATTATTTCGGAAGTTTTGATTGGCGGAGAATGATTTGTAAAATTCATCTCGAAATCTGGTGTTGCAAATTTTAATTCTGACCTTTGATCCATCTTTCTATTATCCCACGCTGATGTAGGAGAGCAGATGGGGGAGAAATATCGCTTGCTAATATAGGAGGATTGATGATAGGGATGTCCTTTCTTTCCCTCCAAACAATTTAATGCCCGCTAGGTCACAAAGTCACAAAGGAGTCTCCTCCCCTTTTCCTCTCTTCAGGTATCAAAGGATCGGCCGCTCTTCTCCACCCGTTTTCATCTCTACTTACTCATGCTGGGTCATTCATTTACATTTGTTTATTGCTTCCCATCTTAGAAACTTCAATCTTCTCATTTTATGTTATCTTTCCTTTTCTATCATTTGTTCGCTAAGTTTTGAATTTTAACTCTTCCATGATTTCCCAAATTTATCATAAAAATTGGAACTGGAAAATTGAGGAATCGAATCTGTCAACATGGGATTTATGTCTGGTCCTTCTTGATCTTTTAATTGAATCATATAATTGCTCATTTCAAAATAGCTTCCAACCCATTTGAAATGAAATTTTAATTAATGTGATTTTTTATTCCTATAGTGGATGTAGACTGGTACGGGTTGATTGATTACTTCTTGTTTTTTTTGAAAACAACTAGCTGTTTTTCTCCTGAATCATTTGGATTCTGTCTTAGTCTTCATCTTCGTTCCAATATTCCAGAAAATGATCATCCGACTTGTTTATTGATCATTTTTTAGAGGTACATACAATGATTAAAAGTTGGTTGAAATGGAGAAAGGCGAAGAAAGTGGTTGCGGTACGTCATTTTCTCTCTAAACCTTTCCGTTTACTCAACTTTATTCCCTTCTTTTCCGTGTTTCAATTCAATTTCCAAATTAATCTTTCTTATTAAAAAAAGAATACTGTGAATGTTTCGGATTTGTTGAATGAACAAATATGAAATATTCAGGAGGATGAAACTTACGCAGTCTCCCAAAAGGATACTAAACGTGATTACCATCTCAACGCCACAGCAGCATATCATACAGCTACTCGACCGAGAGTGCATCGTGGTCCACGTTCATGTCCCAGTAATCTAAGCTTTAATCAGTATGATGCCTGCAGTCATGTTCTGGATCGCTCGTTGTATCCGGATATAATTATTCCCGGTGAAATGGTCCGTAATTATTTCGAATCCCAGAAGACATTTCCGCCAATACATAAATATTTCACGTCATATTATTACTATTTGTCATTCCTTTTTTTTTATGCCTCATCCTCTCATCCTTTTTTCATTTTAAATTATCCATCCTACCTTCTTCCATTGATTTGTCTTCTGATGCTCAATTTAAGCTATCCAGAACTGAACTTGACCCTCCCAATAGTATTGGAATTTTCTTTTTTTTTTTTTTTTTTTACAATGAAAGTCAATTCAAACTGCTTTTTTTTTTACCTGTAGATACATCGACGTCGTCGACAACAGCAGCGTTTCCGACGTGTTAATGCATCTACATCAGAGTACGGCAGTGGTGATCCATCACCAACAACTTTACACAACACATACAATCGTAATTTGGACGATTCAGATTCAGGTTCAGATTCTTGGACTGAGGAATATGAACGAGCACAACACATTAGGGTTAGTTTAGGATGTTACCAAATGTTATGTCAGAAAGTATCTTTCCCTACGGATTAGAAAAAAAGAATTTTTCTATTCATCAATAAGGAAAAAAAAGGAAGCCAAATAATCTATGAACTGTTTCTCTTCAAGAATATTTTCCCTCGAATTAGTCCTGCTTCATGAGTCGCCGAAAATTTCCAGGAGTTAGAGTGTAGACTTCGGGAACAGAGAAAAAAGATAAAAGACTACAAAGGAAGGTTACGAGCTGAAAGAGATTTGAGGATTGTTAACGAAAGGAGTATGATGGAAGAAGTGGAAAAATACAAATGTGAATTAAAGAAGGAACAACGAGACAGAAAAGCAATCGAACAACGATATATCGATATCATTGCTTATATGAAAACTAAACTTTCGGTACCATTTTCACTCATTGTGTTTTAATTCCATATTTTTAAAATCATGTTTTGTAATATATCGTAGAATGCAGTGATCATAGGATACCTGGCTTGTTGCAATATAAAATAGCAACAGATAAAAAAAGATAAAAGTTGAAGTTTTAACTAAGCTGACATCATATTCTCTGTTGACCGATCGCATCTATCCAGTATAAAAATAATAATAGCCTAATGAATTAGTGCATGAAATTAAGTACATTGTGAATTGGTGACAGCTAGCTATCCCCATGATAGCTAGTTGTCACTAATTTTGTCCATACCATCGCTAATGAATAAATTACTCCTAATGGTCGATCAGTGCTGCAGTCTGTTGTGAAAAATAGAAACTCCTTTGAGATCGCATACTTTAAATAATTTCTTCTTTCCACAGCTGAATAAAGGGAATTTAGTAACTGATTCATAGCCTTGTCTAGTTTTTTCCCTGTCATAATCCATTAAATTTCAATAATTTTGCATCTTTCTTTGAAGCTTCTGGAACAACAGCCACCGATGGGACAGCGATGTCCACCGTCATCACTACCACTTCTCGGTGATTCAACCATCAATCAGCAAAATAATGCGACACAGCTCGGAGGTACTGGTGAATTGCTATATCCTTTAAACGTGAATACTCCGCCGTCAATTTTACGGAGAATCAATTTCGAGCAAGAGTTAGATGAAACGAAAAATTTCCGAGCTGAAGAGATATATGGTGACTTGGAAACTGCTCGAAGTAGTGAAAATACTACGACGACATGTACAGAGCAATCTGATCGGAACCGCAGATCAACAACACTGTTAAAAGAACATGACTCCGATAATGATGATAATGGCTATGTGACCACATTTGAATACCCTGCAAAAAATACACAAAAGAACGAAGAAAATTCTCGTAGGACTAATGGTCTATTGCGCACCTCATTATGAATTCTAATGTAATTCCAAATCTTATTGATTTCTTCATGATCTTGTTATTTGATTTATTGTCAGGCTTATTTTCAAGTATTTGTTGCAATTATATTGATGTTCTTATCATTTAATATCCCTTCATATTATAGCGAATGATGATAATAATGATAGTGTGATCATTTCTAATAATAACACTTCTGCCACTTTTTGCTTCGACTTTTCGTTAAACTTTTTAATCAATACCTAGTAATTAATTGTTCCTTCTTATTTTGTCTAATTGATGATTTGTTGATTTATTCTAGAATATTTTTCATTTTCCTCATTGCATTTAATTTTTGTCATAAGAGGACTGTGAGAAGTGATTTTATGAATAAACAATTAACTGCTGGTTACTCTGATGGTCATTTTCAGCAAATTGAAGTCAAAAATCACTCCCAAATATCACTGCCATTGCGTTCGTTTGTGAAGCTTTTGCGATTAGTTGAAGAGGAAGGCATAATATATTCAATGAATAACGTACAGTTTCAGTTTTCGATTAGCATTTGTTTCATATGCCTCTCAACAGCGAACTCTTTGTCCATATCACTTAGCAGTCAACGAGATGTGCCATTGGACGGAAAGTCACTACGGTGACACATATTTTTTGAAGTCGTGAATATCATTAATTGAAGGCGCAATTTATAAATTGAAGTGATGAACCTCATCAAGTCAGACTTGATCTATTGCTACTGCCAGGGAGTCCTGGTTCCTTGTTCCAGTTTGTGTTTTGGGTCTCTGTAGCTTTCTTTTGTAACAATCATCATTTGTTTTCGCTCAAAGCAGATGCTGATTTAATGTATTTTTAGATAGTTTATTGATAATCAAATGAATTAGAACACATAAAATGATCGCTGAGCAGAATCCTAAGCCAATATTAACGTTAATTACCAGTGCTTAATATTGCTAGTCGTTATGCTACTTTCTGCACTACAGCTTGAACTGAATGGGTCACTCAACCGATGTCTCTTAGTTCTATTGATGTTGTTAATTTGTGACAAAAGGACGAATACTCCTCATTTTATGAGATTAAATAATCGTCACAAATATCATCGCTTTTAAAATTCTCTAGTCTGCAGGCACCAATAGGAAGTAAGATAATGTTAAGGTCCGTGAGAACTGAAATATGATCCATAAGAGTAACGGTGCGATAAATGGAAAACAGGCGAGTGCTGTTATCAATTTTTGATAAACTAATACATCAAAAGTTTAGGTCAAAGTTAATTTCAAATTAACAGCATTTGTTATTTTTGGACCTTCTGGTCCAACTACAAATAAAAGAGCTAAAGTGGTATCTGATTAAGAAAAAGTTAGAAACCACTATGTTAGGTAGTGCAATGTAATGAGGGACAACAGCAGTACAAATAATTTTAATTTTTTTTTTTTGCAAGCAGTTACTCAAAGACCAAAACATTAATCAACATGCTTTTTCCAGTTATTTTTTCTTAGAAAAAGCATGCTGATTAATGTTTTGGTCCTTGAGTAACTGCTTGTAAAAATAATCGTAAAATCCATCCATCCTAAATTGGATTTCCGATGATGGTAGAACGTCAAGAGGGAGAAGGATATCAGTTGTTGGATTCGAGAACGAAACGCCCTCCAATACAGTCTTTGATAATTTTTTGCAAACTATGCTTCATTTCCACAAAAATTTCTAGAGAATTTTACCCATGTTATCCTTAATTACCTATAAGGAACCAGAAAGTAAACCACTACATGGCCAGAAAACAATGGCTCTAAATTTGAAAGTCACTTTGAGAAATTGCGTACCAGAAAACAATGGCTCTAAATTTGAAAGTCACTTTGAGAAATTGCGTTACTTGCTATGTGAAGGACAAAATCAAATTTAGGCGGCATTACATATGATAGTGACTCTTCTGTTTTAAACATTTCCGCTTGAGATGATGTAAAAACGCAATTGCTGATGAGATTTGCGATCGGATAGTTCTTAATCCTGAACAGCTGAAAATATCAACTACAGATAACTTTGGTCAGTTAAGGAATTTTAATCAGAAACAAAAAAGTGATTCACTAAAAAGGTGTTTGATTGGGCGGAATGATGAAAATATAGAGATAAAATCTGGATTTTACACTTCAATTTCTAATTTTCAAGTTTTTAATTGAAGATTGCGTAGTATACCATTGTTAAACAATCTTTATCTAGATTCAGTTCGTTCTTGCGAATTTTGTTTTGGAAATAAATTTTCTATAAAACAAAATGGATTTTGGGATTAAAACAGAAACAGACTGACTTTTAATCTTTCAATCATCCAAAACAGAGGGCTTATCAGAATCTGCTTCTTGAAACACGTACATCATCAATGAATTTACACTAATTTATTGTCATGGAAAACACTGCGAGTTAACTTCAGCAGTATGACGAAATTTTGATGATATGAAAAAGTCTAGTGTCTACAGGATGTTTCAGTATGCAAATTAAATGAAGTGGATATTCAAGACAGAATTCATCACTAACCATAACACAAAGCATTTTCTCACTTTTTCCTAGCCATATTTTTTCCCTTCTTTTAATGGTTATGCCGGAATTCTACAACAATTTTTGCTACTGAAATCTAAAGTGAAGGTCAAAAGTGAATTCTGTCTATATATTAAAATCGTAAGAAATAGCGATTTATATACTAAATCGTAAGAAATACCGATACCTGTGCAAAGAGCAACATCGGGCTAACATATGACACTTTTTGCGTAGTAACTGCGCCGATCTCCTGCATATTTTGATATTGTTGTGCTGCCGCCCAATCTTAGTGGAAAATTTGCCGGATTTATGAATGCTTTGAGTAGCTCGCTTACATACTGATTGCTGAATTTGACAATCTTTTACTATGTATGCCCAATAATTGAGTCTAAGGAATCGATGATTTAGTAACATATTTTCTAATTATGTTTCCGAAGAGACTGGTACCTGAAACCGTCGAAGACTCCATGACTGATTATCGTTATTTTTCGTAGCACAGTCCCGCTCGAGCTCAGTCTTTCTCAGCTGCAAACCGTCAACTGCTGTACGAGCCATATCAACAAGTCTCAAACATTGGGTATTACTGCGATTTAATTTTTCTCCCAGCTTTACACAGCGGCGCTCTTCAACTTCGACACGCTGTTGACAGCTTGCATAACGTTCACAGTAACCATTCTAAAAATGAAGTTGGCTGGGTGAAGTCCATACGAATACAATTAAATATAATTAATTGCTTATAATTAATTTCTTCATTCTAAGAAGTTTCAAATTTCACGGCTTGTTTTTTTTCCCCTTTACAATCGTTGCATTAGCTGTTTTTGAAGTTTTTAATCGGAATTTATCTCTTGTTGAGACTCAGTTCAAATATTTTAAATGTCCAAAAAACACAAAAAAAAAAGCAATAAAAGCTAACTCTATGTGGAAACGATCTTTGTATATGCAAATGAGCTAATAAATGTTTATCGACATACCGCACTACACAGACTGAGTGCAGATAAAACGACTAGAAGGATCGCCCATTGAGACTTTCTGCTCTCATCGTGCATAATGATAAATAAAGCAAAATTCGATTCCAAGCTGTAAAGACTTCGCCGATTATATCGGAAAGCTGTTGAGTTATGGATGATGACGTGAGAGGATTGAAAAAATATGACAAATTAGGCTTAATTTAAGTGGAAATAAGGGATAGGATTGGACGAAGGAATCGAAAGAAGGATTTAAGAGAAAAGTTAAGATGGAAAGCTTCGTATTAAGATTAAATTCATGCTTGATTCACGGTTAACATTTTTAACGCCATATTATCATCGCCACGACAAACTTCAACAATGGTCGGAAATATATTTTCATTAAGTAACGTAGTGGATCGATATATCGCATTTAGTATATCAATCAATCTTTCGTACTCTCCAAAATGCTAACCATCGTTTATTATTATGTGATGCGCGATGCGCGCGTAATTAGGTATTATTGTCAAAAAAGAGACAAGTGAAGGAAATAAATTTTAACAAATTTTGATAATGACACAAAGCCGTTGGGATGATAAAATAATAAGGATAATGGTGTTGATGTGGGAGGAGAAGAGTTAAACAAAGGATAAAGTGTGAAAGTAAGGATAAAATTAGCCCGAAATTTAGAAAGAATGAATGAAAAATGAAGTTGAAAGCAACAATAATAAATAATTCCAAAAGTGCCTAACACATTCTCTATCGAGAATCATCAAAGACAATAATATAACATAGTGCTTCTTTAGGAATGCAATTATACGATTTGTATGAATGGAGAGTTTGCAGCGTTGAATGCCGTGCTCTATTTATTTAATTTACAGAATTGATTTATTCAGCAGACTTAATGCATTACTCATCACTGAAAATTTGAAAAAAAATTCAAAATTTCGATCCTTTCCGGCAAAGTCTGAGAAGCTATCCATCAAATGATTTTCCTACAAATTTGAAATAAAATTTGCCGTGTCATTAGGCACGAAGAGCTTATTCATTCCCAAATGCTTCTCTTCCACCCTTTTTTGCACCCATTGTTTGTTAATATCAGCAGAATTTCATTGCAGTATTTTTGAATAGATTAAAATAATTTGGGAAATATTTGGGAATTTCTGAAAGTAAGAAAGTTGAAATGGATGGAAATTTCCCAAAGGAATGACACTTCTGAAAAAGTAGGAGAAAATGGTTAAAAAAGGAAAAGAAAGCATCCCACTAATGAACAGATGTGGCATACTATTAGAGGAAGAGGAGGAGAAAGGATAAATGGAGCCAAAGTGGAACATAAAAGCTAATAATGAGCATCCAAAAACCAAAACTGACCATCTAATGTGTACCTCTTCTGAATTTCATTCGCCATACGTTCACTCATTCGGCCTTAATTTACATTTCCACCAATTCCTACTCACATTATTGATAGTTAGAAAGAGGTATGGAGAAGATCCTTCCATCTTCCAGTTAATGAAAAGAAAGTGAAAATCGACAAGAGAAGGGAAAAGGAATCACAGAAGCGCAGTGCAAAAAAACTTGAAATTAACCAACTTTCAATCGCACTGAAGAGTGAAAACTACAAGTTTTAAAGGTTTTAAGTAAAAGAAAATGCAAAGTTCGTTGACCTGTCTTGAACCCTTTGTCGGTATTAGAGTGCAACGTCGAAAGGCAGTCGACATACAGTGGAAGATAATTGGTAAAGACATAGAACAGTGAATCTCTTCAGTTCGTATCATTGCGGTTTGTTCGAACCGATAAGAGTTCCAGTCAATGTTCACGTGATCCTCTTCTTGATATCAATTAGCTGTTCATCAGATTACTTTGTGCAAATATTATATTCCGAAACTATCCATATCATTTCCCACAAGCTCGACTCCCCCATTCCTTTGGATGTAGAATCGATCGCTGCAGTTACAATTAACTTGTTCACTCAATAGCTGTAACCATATCGAATGGAATAAATGATTTGGGTTTGTAGCTTAAAAAGATTTCATCTCAGCTCTCAGTTATTCTATTACTGCAATGCTTCAGTCGTTTCATATCACAAATGTCACATCATATGGGTTGACATAATGCCTTAATGATGAGTAATTCGGCTACTTGTGACCACTGGATATTCCACCTTCTTTACTCCAGCTGTTAACGTCATTATGAAACCTTGACGTTTGCACACTAATCAGTATTCCTAATTTCCATTTCAGTATACTGATGACCTTTAACCCAAGCTGCAGATTGACGTAGCACACATGCACACATTGATTCTCCTAACTCTTCAAAGCTAATCTCCTTGTGCAACTACTTGTGCAACTACGGACCACTACCGCTGGTTTTGTGCTGTTGGTAATATTGTACTGGTTGGATTAAAATTTGAATTCAAATGTTAACATGTTTAGTAGACATAGGGAGGGAGGGTTGGTTAGTGATACTTGTAGATCAAGTGACCTTTCTGATCATCCTTAAAGCTTATCACTTCATTTCGTTACGTTTCAGCGCAATCGTCGTCAGTGAACGTTATCAGTTCGAGTTGGATGTTATCAATTTGCGATTTTCCTTCCTCTAACCTTATTATTATTAGTTAGAGGACGTAAATGGTTCCACGATTACAATGCCTCATTTGTTTGGATATGCTTCCTCTTAATGAAAGTGCAGCCGTACGCTGTGGCCATGTGTTCCATCTACACTGCATCTTACAATGGTTTGAGGTAAAGCTTTATTTTAAATTTTACTTTCACAATGTTTCCATCTGCATTTCTTATGTGATTTAAAAGGTAAAGCTAATTTTGCTTGGTCTACAGTATGTGCTTCCCAAGACAACACGAACTGATGCTTATCTGCAATGATAGCACCGCTTTCGATGTATACATGTATTTCTCGGTATTATAATTGTCTGTCCCATTGCCACTGGTATCCATTAAACGACGAAGATAGGACCCCGGTGGGTAGATTTTCAGAAATCACAAACAAGTGGAAAAATGATTGTCTCATTTTGTTTGGTTGAAATAGTCCGAACCTGCGATTCCCCTAACCAGCGTTTTAGACAAATAAATGGTTTGAGATCACAATCGTGGAACATTTTGATGTCTCATGTATAAGTGTGCCATCAAGAGTAGCACTTTCGAAAGTGTTATTTTTGGTGACTTAAGATTTAATTTCGTATTATAATTCGGCTCTCATGCTTTTCCTTCCTCCTCTACCGTTTCAGAGTAGAATCATTTCTTAAATATTGCAGAATTGTAAAACATGTCCGGTTTGCCGAAAGAAAGCTACAACAAGAGATCTCATTCGACAATTGTTTTTTCAAATGGATGAAAATAAGAGCTTCAATTCCAGTAGCACTAATCCATTGGAAATGCATAATCAAGTTTTCTATTTGTTCGCATTTCACAAAATTGCAAAGACCTTTTTCAATATAATTTTAGAGAAAATAATGCATTATTAACATATGCATCTCATCTGCACTTGGTTTTGACACCATGATGGTTTTGACATCATAGCCAAGAGGACCTAAAAGCAAAAACTTTTCTGCATTTATCCTCCTTTAGAACGGGACGATTTATGGCTGCCGGGGTGTATCACTTCATGTATGGCAAAGGCAGTCATTTGGAAAATGTGCGATACAGGAAGATTGTAGTGATTGTCCTTATGTTTTTATTTTCACACAATTGTTTAAATTGATACATCATAGTGATTTTCCTTACGCTGGAATATTTACAGCTTCAAAATGCTTTGGATAACCTCGAGAAGGAAAAACAGGCTGCCGCCAAAGCCAAGGATGAAGCTAATATTTGTTTAGCTGCAAATCTTTTATTGGTACCATTTGATTACATCTAAGAGCATTAATAGAGCTGTATCAGCTCATATGTAGTTTATGTTTGTTTTTGTTCAAGTTGGTTTTATTTATCCCTTACTTCTATATCGATCATTTCTTTCCTTTCTTTTCTTGATGAAAAATTTCTAATAATATGCTTTCATCGAAAGATATCAAGTATTATTCCCTGTGTTATCCTTTTTTCCTAAGAAGCGAAACTGTTAAGTTCAATAGGAACTGACTTTGGCAAGTTTTTCAGTGAAAATTTTAAATTTAGAAAGAAAAGGTGACAAATTTGGAGTCGGCTTCTCGACTTAATGTGCAACAAATCAAACATTTGGAAGGCATACTTACAGAACAGCTAGACATGGAGAAAGAGCTGCAGAAGTATAAGAAACGATTGCAAGCTGCTGCATTGTGAGCTCATTTACACTACCATTTTGAAACATTTTTAAAAATTTAGGATATTATTGGATAAACCATCTAAGTTATCACGAAGGCCATCTTGCTTTCAAACTAATATTTGTATTATTCTGCTTTGATTGAGGCGTTTAGGTTCTGTCGGTCAGTTTACCCTCCTGAGAGGGTGATTCTAACGAAGGGAAGTTTATCAGTTTATCATTTAAGTACTGTTAAATGCTGTGTTCACATTTAGTGTATGGAGTTGACGTGGGAGTTTAAATTAAGCTTATAGTTCGTTTTGTCTTTTTCAGTTATAAACTGCTCAGTAATATGAAAGATGAACCTATTTTGGAGATTGATAAATATATCACCGGTGAAGGATTAGAAGTGAAGAGATTCATTGCCCTGCTGAGGAGGTAAAATACCTACGTTTTCATATTTTCAAATTGTAAATGTATAGAAGAAAGTAATGAGTAATGGATATGGCTGTTATTGTAATGAAAAAAAAGATAAGTTTTCTTGCTGTGGCTTAGTTTAAATGATTAGGTGCGGAATCTGGATTCTTTCGAAATACAGTCACGTTATTTTACCTGTCAAGAAAAAAAAACCTTTTATTTCGGCTCATCACAGCTTATTAAAATACTTAAAACTGATCTGCACTCTCCACAATGTGGAATACTTGATAGAGTTGACTCATTGTTTGTTACAGGCAGTTGAAAGATGCAATGAAAACAATGGAAAACCAAAAAGAAGAACTTCAAGATAGCCGGAAGAAAATCAGTGAGCTACAGAAAAAAGTGACTATACCTTTACTTTTCTTCTTCTCACTTCTCCATACTTCTCCCTCATTTCCTTTTACTGTCAAGCTACCTGAAGTTGTCAGTACCGTGAAAAATCTTAGAACACAAAACCTCTACTGACATACGTTGCTCGTGCTCACGTCCATTTACACGTAGGTTCACATGCTTTTAGCGCTATGCATGTTCATATATATCTTTTTACTTCGGTTTTTACTTTTTTTACTTCGCCTCACTTCAATATTATGATTTTCAGCTAAGTGAACATAAAAGCCTCAATGTAGCATTGAAAAAAGAACTTGCTTCAGCTCGATTAGATCCTTCACAGACAATTATGAATGGAGCGCTCGAAGAAGTTATTGCTTTTAGGTTAATTTGATTTTTACGTTTTTTAATTGTTTACGAAAATTTACGTTTTGCCATTCCTGTTTCTATCAAACTGTTTCAGGCCACAAAGCAAATATATCATGAACATGTTAAAGAGATCGGGTTGCTAGAAATATTTAATAAAAACGCTGTTTTTACAGCGTTGCTAGTTGACATATTTTTCTTGCAGTCCAAAGCAGCATTCGCTTTCACCACTTGACGTAGATGACCGCAAAATGTTCCCAACTTCACTCATAGCTTCGGCATATAGAAGTACTTTCGGAAATAATGTTTTGGTGGAGAAAGTACAAGGAACGACACCAGTTCGAAGCAGGTTGGAAATTTCCATCATTAAAAATGAAGCGAAAAAGTTAGGTATAATTTGATGAGGGAATACTATCACATCAGTGTTGCCCTTTTTCTTGATCACTGCTTCTCACGGTATGATAACAGCTGCACTGCAAACAGATTGGTGGGAAAGGATGCTGATATCAGCCATCAAAGCAATTAATTAGGCTAACAAGAGGATGGTCCAACTATCACTAAATTATCCGGATCGGTTTTCATGTAAAATTTAGAATTTTAAGGCAAATAATTGTGTTAGTGGTTATAAATGAAACTGCAGCACTTGATCTACTTGGCTTTTTTACGAGTACTTCTAGCGTTTAAATGCATATTGCTGCTGTTTGCTATTCTCAGTTTAACTTTTTCTTTTCCACAGTCAGTTCCCATAATTTATTAAAACTAATACAAAAACTGTGTTTTGTTGGTGATATCCAACAATCATTTTAAACGTATATTTACAGTTTGATGAGAAAAGCCGCGAAAAGTGATTCACAAACAGACATTGAAAATGATATGGAAGAAGTTTTTGTACCTCCCATTATTCGAAAATGTGCTACTACAACACCATCTCATGGAATTTTACATAAAACCCTTACTGCAAAGCGTAATCAAGTGATAAGAAATAGGGAATCTTTGACGAAGAAAAGTTCTTGTGTCCAGCACCGTAAAAAAAAAGAAACTCGATGTTCAGGATATCATGATTTGAAAAATGTTACTATTACCATAGATTGAATTACTGATAGAAGTTATGATGCACTGACTTTTATATTGATTGTGTTTGTTCTCAACTTCCTGAGTAATCACAAAACTTACAATATAACAATATATCTTTCTTTACTGCGACCATAAACATAGCTTGTATCTATCATATGTCGGAAAAAAGAAAATGTGAGTTATATATTGAAAAAACAGGGATAAATGAGCGGGGAAGGAATAGGGCCTGTGAATCAACAGTTCATTACTAACGTAATGCACTGTGCCTCCAAAAAATAAAATTTCAAAACTTTCAGAAAAAAATCGAAAATTTCATTGTTATTCATTTATAGTAAAACTGATTTTATGTTAACAGGTTGTACCAGGAGAATGCAGTATATATTGTCATGTTGAATGCGACTGTACCATACATGTAGGAATAAAGTAAGTCAAAGTGTAATATAGCATGAACGGAACTAATAACTGCATAATTAGCTAATGCAAATGAAGCATAGAGAGTGATTTACATAGCTTAACAGCTTTGTTTGGTACAAATTCTAAATAATGACAAATGAACAGTAATTAGTACAACTACTGGACTTTTTTCGTCCATTCAAAAAGATTCCATGTTGAAGGATTCCATGCTGTTGCAGCACCAAAAAATTCATAACTGTGGTCTCAGAGTGACTCAAAGAAGGCTTCAATTATATTCAAAAAAAAAAAAATGGATTTGAAAGTTTAAAAGGAATATGAGTGGTAGGATGTGAAGATATTTCTTAATCTGAAATACACGCAGAAAGGTTGTAATTATACTCGAGAAAAGTGGTAAAATCATCAGGGAATCACTGAGACAAGTAATCTTGTAAATTGTTTCCATTATTGACAAAAAGAATGGAAGATGATTTCAATGGAAATGTAGGATGAACCCATTTGCGCCTAAATGTGTAACTTGTCATACAGCTGTCACATTGAGACTGTACATCCAACTTCACTGGAATGGAAGGATAAGTTTCTTTTCTGCTAATCATCTACTTGTTTGTGAAGAAGGAATAGTTGTTATAATATGACCAAAGACAAGGAACGATGTGATGGAAAGGGAAACAGGGAAGAAGATTGTTAAGAAGAGAGGGTTTGATATTTTTAAAACGATTGTTTATTGTGATTTCGATTGATTGAAGGATCTGTCACTTTTCAAACTGTTCTTTTATTTGGTGATAAATATTTGCTGGATTCTCAGATTTGTTGTAATTTATATTACAAAATTCAATTTTTTACAATGTAACTTTTGAGAGTTTTGGATCCAATGTTGCTTTTTATTTATTTTTGTCATAATGAGAAGGAGTGATATTTGTTGAAGCTGCTAGGTTCAGTTACAATTATACGGTGAATACGGATCCTGAAATTTCATCTGAAAGAGATATAAGCATATCCTGCATTTTTAATTTACAGTAGGCTAATAAAATGTTCATTATAAAAGGCAAAATATGCTTTATAAATTAAGAGAAAAATGTGCTAATTTGATCGGTAAAATTGAAATAAAAGCAGATGTTTTAGCTCAAAATATTTGCCTTTATTGCTGAAAAGATTTGAATAATTTATGCTAATCAAAGCAAATAATTTCATCCAAATTCATTTTAAAATAAACATTTATTCATTGAATAGACTGTAATAAGTGATCAGATTTTGAGTCTTACGTAAATTTTAAAATTAAGTATTGATCAAAAGCAATGTACTTTAATTAATATCAAATATTTAGCTAAAACTTGAAGTTTCTTTTTTCATTTATTTGAAAATATCATATTAAGGATATAGGAAAAACTAACAAATGTAAATGAAAATATTGATAAATGAAAATCAAGAAAATTAGAAGTAAAATTTTGGTAATTAATTTAACTATTGCAATCACTAAGACCTATTTGAGGCATAAATTCGTCTGGAATTTAATGACGCACGTATAAACTGCGATAAGAAAATATGAAAAAAGACATTGATATAAATTATACAGAGTGATACTGCCTCAATCGTCAAGCATTTAATTCCAGTGAATTCTTTGCATGCAATTCATTGGAATAATTTTGTCATTCTTTTCTTGTCATGCTGATAACCTGTGACCTTTAGCATATCTGTATTGAAGTTTTCCCTCGAAACAGTAAAAGTAACCACGGATGTATGTCACAAAGCAATAATTGATTGTTAAACTTGAAAGATATCAAGTCAATGCATCCACAGAGTGAAGTCTCATCAGTGGTACTTAACCTTTAACTTTATTAAATTAAAGACCCGAAAAATGATCCTAAAAGCTAAAAATTAGATTTAATTATTGGCTCTTAGAATAATATTCTTTATGATGTCATTCGGTTCAACATCTATTGCTGGGATAAATGGCAACTTCCTAAGGAGTATCCAGTTCCAAATCTTTATAGTTTATGCACAACTATCATGCTTCCTTTGCTGTTCAAAAGCGCATTCATATTTGGAGAGTGGAAAATGAGAATGCCAGAGAAATAATACGTAATCATAACAGATTTGAACCTTTGGTTAAGTCCAACCATACTGAAATAAAAAGCTTCCATTTAAGTATTTCTGCCAGTTTTTATTTACTTAACTCAATGTATTTCTCATTTTACATTTGTAAAATCTTGGATTTCATGTTTTTTTTTTCATTGTATCGATAGGACACATTATATGATTCAATCTCAAGTATCCCTTCAACTCGGAGTGAAATTTCCGCCTCAAATTATCCCAACATCGGTGACAATGTTTTAATTATGCGTTATCCTGGCTATTCAATGTGTTATGGATAATCAGTATAATGCACAGTTATGATATTAATTCAATGTTCTTTTAGGCGACTAATCCCATTTTGACATCTGAATTTTTGATGTTTTATCTTTACTCTCATTATTATCTTCAATTTCATAGGAATGGTACAAACTTATTAAATGATAGCGACAGGTAATGATTTGAAGGTAAATATTTAAACATTCACAATACAAATAAAAGACATGTAATAACAAAAATCAATGTAATACCAATAGCTATTTTCGGTCCTTCTTTGCGTACTTTCGTTCCAAAATCAGCGTCACATGGCTTCAAATCTAATTCAAATTATATCAAATCATCCTGTACATAAATCACAATATCCTACTAGAAATATGACCTTTCTGTTTTACACATTTATAAGGACACAACACCAAGCATTGATAAATGTTTGTGAAATTTGTAATATAATTGATTCATTCTGCCTTTGAATTAAATACGTTTCAAATAAAGAAATTCTAAACCGATAGGTTCATATTAATAAGTTAGTTAAATATTTTTTAAAATAATCCAATTATTTGTTGTCTAAATTTACATACAGTAAGAATTACCGTAATATAATTCATTATGTTACATACCTGTTGTAGAAGTGGACTCTGAAAACAAGAACATTGAATAAGATTGGTAAGGACTGGTATAAGCAATGTGCAGAATGGATCATGAAGTGGTAGAAATACTTTTCGAATACAGCCATGTTGTACAGTCTTGTTATAGTTTTGCCTGAAATAAAGTATATCTGTTAAAATTTGAGAGGAAAAAATGAAAGAAATTTGAATATTTTTAAATTTATTTTGTAATTTGTCGTCATTTCACATATTTTATGCATTTTATCAAAATATTTTATTTATTTTAATAAATCATTCCAATACAAAAGGTTATAATTTTGCGATATATTTTAAAGATACATTTTATTTTAATAAATGCATATATGCACTGTTTTGAATATTATTATTGTTATAATTTTTATTATTATTAATATCATTATTATTACTATTACTACTATTATTAATATATTGTTATCACTCTTATTATCATTATTCCAATATTACTGTTATTATTATCATTATCAGTTATATAATACTTT